ATAGGAGCTGACTACCATATCTAACCTGTAATTCCTCCCCAAAAGAGCTCACCATCTAGCCGTGGCTCTAGACATATAAGTGAATAAATTAGAAGACAGGGTAATAGCCTGATGAGCGCAATAAACAGTAATGAAAGGATAATTAGAAGACAACATCTGTCTTCAAGATGCCAGACAGAGGAATACTTAACAAGAAACAAAGTCATAAAATACACTACTATGTTCGAGAAACTGAATGTTCCTGTGGGGGTCTGGCCAAGGTATCAGCGACAGAAGAGACGGGGGATGAGGCTGGAGAAGTGGACAAAGGGTTTGTAGGACAGGACCCAGCAAGTTCATCCACTTAGAAAGCCAGAGGATGCTTCTAAGCAGAGTAAAGTCACCACCAACTGTTACTTCAGAAACTTGACTCACTCTGACAAGCGTGGAGGCTGACTAGGAGGAAAGCAAGACTGGAGGCGAGGAGACCAGCTAGAGGTAGTCACCAAGATCCACATAAGAGATAAAGACAGGACTGAAGGCAGAGACAGTGAGAACAGAGAGAGGACAGATTTTATTTTCATTTTTTACAAGCCCAGTGCGAGCCACTATGCCTGGTTAATTTTTTTATTATACAAGTAATACCCCAATAAAGTAGCTGTATTATGACCTTTATTTTACAGATGTGGAAAATGAGGCACTGAGAGGTCAGATAACCCGTCCAAGACTGCAGTGTCAATAGGATGTAAGAGGCCGGGCACAGTGGCTCACACCTACAATCCCAGCACTTTGGTAGGCTAAGGCATAAGGACTGCTTGAGCCCAGGAGTTGGAGACCAGCTTGGTGAGAAGCGCCTATAGCTACTTGGAAGGCTGAGGAGGATGGATCCCTTCAGCCCAGGAGTTCAAGGCTGCAGTAAGTTGTGATCGTGCCACTGCACTCCAATCTGGGTAACAGATTGAGACCCCGACTCGAAAATAATAATAAGGGTGTAAAAGAAAACATGAACCCTGGCAATATGGCTCTAGAATCTGAGCTCTTAATCACCACACAGTCTGCGTAGGTCAAACTCACAGAATGTTTGCACTAGTTAGAAGAAGGGTAGAAGGCAAGCAATAGCCTGTTCACTCATCAACATTTACTCGCAACTACTACACGTCACACACGAGGAGCTGGGAAGACATGACTGAACAAGGAGCCCTTCCCTTCACCCAACCGGGCAGTCATAATTGGACAGCAGGGATGAGAGGCAGAACAGGGAGGGGTGGGGTTGGACAAGAAGGCAGGACACAGACCTGGGGAGCAGCTGCCAGCATGCTTATGTGTGAAGATGGATTTGGAGCGAAGCAATTTTTTGCTATGCTCTTTATTACTACTAAATACATTACCATCAAACTTAAAATAAAATTTCTTGATCTAACAAAAGTATCAAGTTAATTAATGAACCTTATTATGGTATTTCTATGTCCTATAATATTCTCTCCCCACCTCTGATGGCACACACCTCCCTGTCTTTAACCAAAAGAGAAAATAAAATGATATTGTCACTAATTATTTACCTGTATTTATTCATAATGACATTTTAACACTTCCCATCTCATCTTGACTCGAAAGGACCTAAGGGAACCTCAGATCGCTGCACCCAGGCAATATCCAGGAGAGGTGCCCAGGAATCTGAACATTTAACACCTGGAGATTCTGCCTGGAGATTCTCAACAAGAAAGTCTGCGAAATGCTGTACTACAATGCTATTCTGAATCATGAACTACGTGCTTGAAAGAAAGGGTGCAGGATCTTTACTTTAAAAGGCCTAGGTGATCCTTCTGACCACTCACTACTGAAACCCTAGGAGAATGGAAAAATATTCAGAGACACATAACCCTGATTCAAATGTCAGATCTCCAATATTTTGGCAAGTCACTTAACCCCCGTGAGTCTCCATTTTCAAATCTCTAAAATAGGTATATTGAGACCTACTTTGAAGGGGTTTTGTGAGAAACACATAGAAAAACTAATAATAGCCCTTCTCAGAGTGCCTAGAGTAGATCGGTATTCTTAACAGTTCACTTAAGTCTGGCTGGTTCTTCCTTCCACATCCTTCATCCTTCTCTCACCTCCATTTTTGCTGCCATTCATCTATTTAGAGGTGCACCGCAATTAATATATGCATTACTGAGATAACAAAGAACACCACTAAGAGTTCAGCTGAAGGCTGGACTGCCATTTGTGGGCTCCTTTATAGTAATGGACCATTTCTAACCCCTCAGTTCTCTTATCTGTATGACAAGAGGTAAGCTCAGAAAGTCTATCCTTTCAAAACAACTTGACACCCAATCACTGTGTATATGCCCAGTCATATGGATAAGCACTGCAGAAATGAGGGGGCAGAAGAATGATGTTGAAGAAAGAACAAGCAAGACTTAGGTGAACTGTTGGTCTATCCTAGATGAAGATAAGCCAACTAGATGCCAACTTTCAAGTCTCTGGCTTCCCTTTTCTGTTTCTTTTTCCCTTACATAAAATTCCTGTCTCAAATACTTCACACCTTCCTTTTTTTAGCCACCCTCACCAAAACTGGAAAGAAAACTGATACTGCCACTAATGTTTTTTACTTAAGGTCACTATTAATATATGAACTCTTTCCATCTCATTCAAACCATAAAGGTCCTAAGAGAATTGTGAATGTTCAGAAAGGTAAGTTGGTGGATAAGCAAGTAAGGAGTTGGGCAGACAGATGGGTGGAAGATAAAATTCAGGGTGGGGTAAGAATCTCCATTGGCAGGGGAACTGAGAGGGTAAGTCAGAGAGTAAGATGGAGCACTCCTACTTATAAAAAATGTTAACTGTAAAACAGCCCGGAAAGGCCTTTGGAAGTATTCCAGAAGAAGGCACTATTGTCACAAGAGATAACACCTGCATGCTATTGCCTCTGAAGACTTTCCAGTCAGTGGGCCGAGATGTGGAGGTGGGAGACAGTGATGCTGATCGTGCTAACCCTATGCAGGCCTCGGCTCATGTGTGTGTTTCTGAGCTTTGACAGAAAGCTTAAGAAGAAAAAACTAAAAAAATTTTTTAAATTGAAAAAGGCTTACAGAATACGGATATAAAGAAAAATAATATTTTTGTCCAGTTGTACAATGTTTGTGTTTTAAGCTAAGGGTTATTGCAAAAGAATCAGCTTTCTCACTCGGTCACCCAGACTGGAGTGCAGTGGCCGCTCCCAGTCACTGCAGCCTCGACCTGCTGGGCTCCAGTGATCCTTCCTCCCCAGCCTTCCGAGTAGCCGGAATTACAGGCACGTGCTACCACGCCCGGTTGATTTTTTGATTTATTGTAGAGATGAGGTCTCGTTGCCCAGGCGGGTCTCAAACCCGCGGGCTCAGGCAATCCACTCACCTCAGCCTCCCAAAGGCGCGGGATTACAGGCTGAGCCACTGAGCCCGGCTAAGAATCAGCTTTTTAAATTTAAAAGTTTATAAAGTAAAAAAGTTACAGTAAGCTAAAGTTAATTTGTTATTGAAGAAAGAAACGCTTTTCATGAATTTAGTGTCACCTAGGTGTGCAGTGTTTATAAAGTCTACAGTCCTGTACAGCAAGTCCTGGGCCTTCCCATTCACTCAGCACTCACTAACTGACTCGTCCAGAGCAACTTGCAGTCATGCAAGCTCCATTCAGGATAAGTGCCCTATATAGTTGTGCTGTTTTCTAATCTTATATTATTACTGTACCTTTTATATGCTTAGATTTGTTTAGATACACAAATACCACTATGTTATAGTTGTCTACAGTATTCGACAGTAAAATACTGTACAGTCTTGTAGCCTGGGAACAATAGGCTACAAATATGAAGCCTAGCTGTGTAGCAGGCTACACCATCTAGGTTTGTGAAAGTACACCCTACGAGGTTCGTACAACAACTGAATCACCTAACACGGCATTTCTCAGAATGTATCCTCATCACAAGCAACACATGAGTATACATATACAGTATATACACATAACACACATAAGTATGTATATATACAAATAGGTGTATATATATGCAAACATACATGTGTATGTGTATGTAAACATACGAGGTGGGGGGGATCCAAAAAATACCGGAATTATCTTTTGGAGTACAGTCATCTTAAAATATAGGCTTCCCCCACTAAGTAAGTGTTCTAGGAACCCATTGGCATCAGTGCACCACCTAGTGTTGGGAAAGGCTGTGTTTGGTCTCAGTGAATTTTTTTTAGAGATTCAACACATTTGCCCATTTCATGGTGGGTGATTTATGAGCATACCTGCCCACACCACACTGAGTACTCAGCAGTTTTTGACCAAACATGGAATGACCCCCATGCCCCACCTTTTCTATTCACCCAATCTCACCCCAACTGACTTTGTTTTGTTTCTCTGGATGCAAAAGGGCCTAAAAGAAAAACGTTTTACCAATGTGGAAGAGGTGAAACAAAACACAGCAAAAGCACTAAAAAGGCATCAAAACTGATGAGCTCAAAAATTGTTTCGAACAGTGGAAAAAGCATATCAATAGGTGTGTTACATCAAACAGAGAGTACTTTGAAGGTAACTAAAGTTTATTTGTTTGTTTTTCAATCAGAGTCTCATTCTGTTGTCCAGGCTGGAGAACAGTAGCATGCTCATGGCTACTGCAGCCTTGACCTCCGGGCTCAGGCAATCCTTCTGCCTCAGCCTTCCAAGTAGCTGGAACTACAGGTACATGCCACCAAGCCCGGCTAATTTTTTTATTTACTCTAGAGACAAGATCTCGCCAAGTTGCCCAGGTTGGTCTCAAACGCCTGGGCTCAGTCAATCCTCTCCTCTCCACCTCCCAAAGTGCTGGAATTATAGGTATGAGTCAGCATGCCCAGTTTAAAATTTAAACATGTAAGAATAAATGCACAATTCTTTATAAATAAATTCCAAGTTTTTGGGTCCCCTCTCATACACACACGGCTTCAATCTACATTTTTCCTGTCACTTACCTCTGCTACTAAAATGCTATATCTGGTTCTTACCTGGTTATGATGGGATCTGCAGCATGATTTGGGCCCCATCGTCCCAAAAGTCCCCGGCCAACCAATCCTGTTCGTCCTGCAGGATTTCTGGGGAAAAAGAAAAAAACAAAATCTATTGAATGTCTTCCGTTTTTTTTTTTTTGTTTGTTTTTTTTAAGTTGGAGTCTCACTCTGTCGCCCAGACTGGAGTGCAGTGGCCACTCCCGGCCACCACAGCCTCGACCTGCTGGGCTCCGGCAATCCTTCCGCCTCAGCCTTCCAAGTAGCTGTAATTATAGGCATGTGCTACCACGCCCAGCTGATTTTTTGATTTATTGTAGAGATGAGTTCTCGCTGCCCAGGCGGGTCTCGAACCCGCGGGCTCAGGCAATCCACTCACCTCAGCCTCCCAAAGGCGCGGGATTACAGGCTGAGCCACTGAGCCCGGCTGTCTTCCGTTTTTAAACCTGATTTGATATAGCCCAAAAGAAAGGTAGTATAAGCAATGAGAGGGAAATAACACTTCCTCACAAATCTAGTGGCACTGCCACATATCTGGCACTGAAATCACGTGTTTCAAGTTATTGTTACTTAATTTTTCTTTTGTACACATGTTAAGGTGTGAACTTGATCCAGGAGGAGGATCATTTCCAAGTGGTTCCACAAGAATTTGTTTCCATTTTTACCTACAGTTTTCCTTTTAACCCGATTGGACTTTTTCAGGATCCCTACCCTTCACTTTCTTATCACTCCCACATCCTGCTCCGCTCTCTTACAGTGATTCCCATTCCAGTTGTTTGTTACATTTTTAAGTCTACTTTTCCTTGGTGGGTTCTGGGTTTTTTTTATTATCAGTAATATACACTTTGTAGCATATAAGGTATTAGTATTACCTAATAATTCAAAGATTTCAAGTATATTAAAATCAAATTTTATAAAAATGTCAACTTACAACTTAAACTAATGCCACATTCCAGAATTAAAAAGTCTGTCAGATAAACATACCAACACTCATGCCTCTGTAATTTCATTTCATTAAGTATTCTTTAAATGTTCAACTTCCATTATCTACCCATAAAATGCCCTAATCTGTAAACTTACCTATTTAACGGTCTTTTGTCCTCCCAACTGTATGAAAGTAAATAAACAACTTACCAAGATTTCCCTGTTGCCATCTCTTATTATTCTGCTCTCCCCTGTGACTATTACTAAAATTGAATGAACTTTTGTACTGTTTTGTACTAGACTCACAAGTATTTCAGCAAGACTTGCAAATGGAGACAGGAAGACACCTGGCCAGCTGAGAATAATTCTCTTCAAATGCACAGGAGGAGGGACAGGGTGGCCAGCAACCATACTCTAGCCCATGTAACCACACATTCCTGGATACAAGCGACCAAAGGCAGTATTAAGAGAGAGGATGCTAGTTTTTATGAATAACCAGGCCTATACCTAACTCGTACACAGAAACTGTGGAATGGGCAAATATACTATCCTAAACCCAAGAAGCACAGAAAGTTGTTTGCAGAGAGTGAGGAAATCAACATGCAAGAAAAAGCAGCAATCAGGCAGAGAGATTCCTGATGAATTTCCAACTCCACCCTTCCTAAAAATCAGCTGCATTTCTTTTCTCTTTTTCCCCCCCCGAGCTGGAGTCATACTCTGCTGCCCTGGCTGGAGTGCAGTGGCATGTTCACTGCTACCACAGCCCTGACCTGCTGGGTTCAAGCAATCCTTTCGCCTCAGTCTTCCAAGTAGCTGGAACCACAGGCAAACGTCACCATACCTGGCTAACTTTTTTTATTTTATTGTACAGATGAGGTCTCGCTAAGTTGCCCAGGCTGGTCTCAAACCTCTCGACTCAGTCAGTCATCTTGCCTCGGCCTCCCAAAGTGCTGGGATTACAGATGAGAGCTACCGTGCCCAGCCAACTGCATTTCTACTTTGAGCTTCTAGAGGCAATCCTATAGCCTAAAAATAAATTTCACTTTTTTGCTCAGGCAAACTAAAGTTAGTTCCTGTTAGTCAAAGGGACTTGACTAAAACAACAGTATCTTGGCTTTCCAAACATATGTTTATCTATATATACACATATGTCTCTATGTGTACACATATGTCTGTGTGTATGCATATATACATATACGATTTCATATATTTCACCCAAAAAGAACCTAAGGAATAAGCCAAATGCAAGAAGAGACTGACTTGAAATGACTCAATAACATAGGAAGGTGAATACGTTATGACCAAAAAAACTAAACTAACTCAGTTTTTGTTTTTTTGGGTTTTTTTAAATTTATTGTAGAGATGAGGTCTCGCCAAGTTGCCCAGGCAGGTCTCGAACGCGGCAATCCACTCACCTCAGCCTCCCAAAGACCCGGGATTACAGGCTGAGCCACCGAACGCAGCCTAACTCAGTTTTGATGCAGCAAAACTGAAGGACCAGGCTGTGACAAGAGGAGCATTACCATTTCCTTGTTTCAGAAGAATACAAAGTGCAGCCTTTTTATAAGGTGGTACCATGATTACAGACCTGTGATCCTTCTTCTATTATATTTGGGGTATGCTAATTTCTATATTTTTTTCTAGCTTTTATAATGTCTTTTTAAAGAAGCTGAGTAATTTTGGAGTTGTATAGAAAAATCATTTTCAAAATTACAGAAAGTCCCTTGATGTTAAATTATTGGGTCATTTTTATTCACGTTTGGATAAATTCATAATTTAAGATGCCATGCTATTTAATAAATAAATACTGATCATACCAATTTCAATCCTTTCTCTGTTAACTTGTTCAGTTGGTTATTTCAACCTTCAAAGTAGTTACAAAAAGCTGTATTCAAGTTCTGCCACTACCACTTACTAGCTGTACATAAACTGGTTACACTCTTTCCTTATCTGTAAACTGGAACCAAAAATATCCACCTACAAGGTTATGGTAAAAATTTCATTAGACCACATATATAAATTCTTCTGTACAATTTCTGGCACATACAATGATATCATATGTGTTATCTATCTTTTCTACCTTTTGAAGGTCCATTATTGTAAAATGTTCCATTCCCAGTACCTACCTGGGTCTTCCATTTTCAATCTCATACAGGCCATTCTGGCTCTTTCTCTCAACATGCCCATCCTTTTCGTTAAACTTAGGAGAAAAGTTACTTTCACTGTAATGAAAATACCAATGCAAAGTAAGAAAAACTACTCAAAACTACCAACAGCTTAATAATGCAAGTGAATATGTTATCCATAAGCAGTATTCCTGAAACAGTAGGTTTTTAAAGGGTTAGTTTTCATTTACAAATCCATCTTATTTCCTCAAAATAATTTCTAAAGGAAAAAAACATTTTAACCAAAACACCTTGCAATACAAGGATGTGTATCACCATTAGACTTATGGAATGCTCTGGGAAGGACAACCAGCAGAAGAACCAGAGCTCTTCCTGCATGCTATGTTATTATTAGCAAGAAGAAATTGTGTGTGGGTACCTTATAGGGCAATTAATATCCCCACGTAGTTCCAGAAATAAGATGTCTTCTGATATTTTGTTGGTTTTTGTTTTTGTTTTGCTTTGTTTTGAGTCAGGGTCTCACTCTGTCTACCAGGTTGGAGTGCAGTGGTACAATCATGGCTCACCAACAGCCTTGACCTCAGGCTCAGAAGATCCTTCCATCTCAGTCTCCCAAATTGCTGGAACTACAGGCAAGTATCACCACATCCAGCTAATTTTTTAATTTTTTATAGAGATGAGGTCTTGCTATGTTGCCCAGACTAGTCTCGAACTCCTGGGCTCAAGCAATCCTCCTGCCTCCCAAAGTGCTAGAATGACAGGCATGAATCACCACATTCAGCCCCCTCTGATATACTGATGCTTCTACTACCTTGAAGTAATTTAAATTTCTTCAAATGTAAACTGATTAGTACTTTCATCAAAGTAAACCCATGAAAAAATAAATTCACCGCACAAACTACATAATAAGTATGATGTAGATTAAAAATAGACATAAATGCTGAAACTTGATCTGTTTACATAGCTATATAAATATAAAATTCTGCTAACAAGCACCTGCACACTTAAAAAATGTGCCTCAACATAAATATTTTTTAAAAAGTTATAACTAAACTACTTTCTGCACTATTATAAAATCCCTGCCATAACTGAGTTGACAGTGGATAGAGTTGTATAGCACCAGACAGTTCATAGGCTGTTCTGAGATAGGTTTCACCTTTTTTTTTGCTTTGATTCCAGTAAGTAAGCACAAAAATATTTGTAGTATGTTTTGGAAATAATTTTCAATTTGAATGATTCATGGCCTGGTGCAATGGCTCACGCCTATAATCCCAATACTTTAAAAGGCAAAGGCAAGAGGATTACCTGAACCCAGAAGTTCAAAACCAGCCTGTGCAACATGGAGAGACCTCATCTCTACAATAAATCAAAATAATTAGCCAAGTGTGGTGGCGTGAGCCCATGGTTCCAGCTACTTGGAAGGCTGATGCAGAAACATCACCTGAGCCCAGCAGGTCAAGGCTCTGGTGGCTGTGACTGTGCCATCGCACTACAGCCTGGGCGACAGAGTGAGACTCTGACAAAAAAAAAAAGATTCATTCTCAAGACTTCTGACCAATCTGTCATCTAACACGCAAATACAAAGAATTAAATGATAAAAAACATGAAGTTATAAAATCAGAGTTGCAATGCTCTTGAGACTCTAGAAATTCGCCATTTAAGAAAAAGTATGAGGGCCAGACACAGTAACTCACATCTGTAATCCCAGCACTGTGGAAGGCCAAGAGAGAAGAATTGCTTGAGGCTAGGAGTTCAAGACCAGCCTGGGCAACACAGCAAAACCTAATCTGTTTAAAAAAAAAAAAATACCTGGGCATGGTGGCACACACTTGTAGTTCCAGCTACATGGGAGGCTGTGACAAAAGGATCGCCAGAGCCCAGGAGATCAAGACTGTAATGAACTGTGATCATGCCACTGCCCTCTAGCCTGGGTAACAGAGTGAGACCCCAACTCAAATAAATAAATAATTGAGCCAGGTATAATGACTACTCTGGAGACTGAGGCAGGAGAATCACAAGCTCAGGAGTTCGAGGCTACAGAGTGCCATGATTACACCTGTGAATAGCACTGCACTCCAGTCTGGATGACAAAGCAAGAAGACATATCTTTAAATAAATAAATAAGATTTTTAAAAAACAAGAAAATATACTGAATCTTCCTCTATTTATACTATATAGCACTCCTGTCAACATCAATTTGAACTGTGCATAATGTGTATGTATAATGTATAAATATGAACATCCTCTAAAATGGAGGAAATGGAGATCATTTAAAGCTATGAATTTCTCCAATTAACTGTCATGATTTATTAATAATCCAAGTACTGTCGCAATGTTACAAACATGTTGCAAACTATGGGTCAAAATCAAATCACAGTAATAAGTCCATGGTGAAGTTTAACTACTTAATGAACTAACATGAATCTATCAAATCAGTAAACTTCCTTACTTAACTGAATAAATAATTCTTTGAGAGGACTACCATTTACAAGAAACTTACCATGAAATCAAACCAGTAAAACTGTTCTAAAGCTAGGGTGGCAGCTTTAACAGAGTAGTTAAGAGAAGGAATTCTGAAGTCAGAGTGAGTTCAAGTCTAAACTATATCAACTTAGCTCTGTGACTACAGGCAAAGGGCAAACTCTTCCATTGTGTTGCTTTTTCCTACAGAGATAACAACCATGTCTGCTCTCCAGAAAGCTTATCAGAATAAAATAAAGTAATGCTTATAAAAAGCATGACTATAGTGCCTCACTCACAGCACCTAAAAACCTCTACTGCTCTTACTAGAAGGTACACGAAGGGAGGGAGACACGAGGAGATGTGGGTCAGTCATGGGTGAACAAGTTCTAAGCGCTAGTGTAGGTGTGGTGACAATGGTTAATAATACTGTGTTGCATACTTGAAACTTGCTAGGAGGAGCTCTCAAATATTCTCACCACATACACAAAAGGTAAGGTAAGAGATATGTTAGTAGGCTTGATTGTGGTCAACACTTTACAGTGTATACATATATCAAAATACCATGCTGTACACCTTAAATAGATATAGTTTTTTGTCAATCACACATCAATGAAGCTAGACAAAAATAAAAGAAACAAAACACCAAATGTTAATCAATGCAGCACTTCTATGAATTTAGTGAGAGTCTCGTTCTCTCACTCTTTTCTTTAATAAGCCTTTTTCTATTTTTTCACATAAATTTTTTTTTTTTTTCTGAGTTGGAGTCTCACTCTGTCGCCCAGGCTGGAGTGCAGTGGCATACTCACAGCCACCGCAGCCTCATTGGCTAGGCTCAGGCAATCCTTCCACCCTCAGCCTTCCAAGTAGCTGGAACTACAGGCATGTGTCACCACGTCCAGCTAATTTTTCTTGATTTATTGTAGAGATGAGGTCTCGCCAAGTTGCCCAGGCTGATCTCAAACCCGTGGGCTTAGGCTAGCAGTCCTCTTACCTTGGTCTCCCAAAGTGCTGGGATTATAGATGTGAACCACCACTGTCTAATTTTTTTGTGTGCCAAGGCCTCACTCTGTCAACCAATGCTGGAATGCAGTGGCGTGATCATGGCTCACTGCAGCCTAGACCTCCTGGGTTCAAGTGATCCTTTGCCCCAGTCTCTTGAGTAGCTGGGAATACAGGCATGCAATACCACATCTGGATAATTTTTTTATTTTTATTTTTTTAGAAATGAAGTCTTGCTATGTTGCCCAGGCCGATCTCGAATTCCTGGGCTCAAGCAATCCTCCTACGTTGGCCTCCCAAAGTGTTGGGACTATAGGCATGAGCCACTGCACCCAGCCTACACTGGTCTAATTTTATCGTCATCCTGTTCTTAGTAACCTGGAAAACTTTCTGAAAAACATTTTCACAAATCTAACTATGCTGGAAACTAACCACAAAAGATGTTCTATTGATAGCCCATACAGAGCACATGAAAACAGATACCAGCAGCTGTTATTTCATAATAAATAGCAGTTTTATCAAATCAACACAGATAAACCTATTTGGAAGGATCCTCATAAAGTCCACAAAATAAGATGAAACATGAACTGTTTAGTTTTGGCAAAAATTCAAGCAAATGTGGAAACTGAGTTACAACAGAGTTGAGCAGAGATAAAAAAATGATTTTTCAGGTGTCAAAAAGATAACTCACAAATATAACCATGAAGCTTTCCACCCAGCTAACCCAGCTTATCTGCTCACCTGATCTGAGGATCTGCCCACTGGGGTCCAGCCAGGACAGAGACTGCAGTGTACTCCACAGGGTTATAATCTCGCCACTCTACGAGCCAGCCTACCTTCTCATTGGGAACCTGGCTCCGTTCCACTTTGGAACCTGGGTAAGGAGATGTCCGAGCCTTGTTGTGGGAATTCTCTTTGGAGCCATTAGAACCAGACATGCTGTTGGTATCAAGATGAAACCAGCTGGATGAAAATGAGCTACTGAAGGGAGAAAGGAAAAACGTGTTACATAAATACCAAAAATATATTAATTAAAGAACTTCATTCAAAGACTCAAAAACATATTTTTCAACCTCAAAAACTTTTAAAAATCAGAAAATCCAAATTTGATGCAAATTAGTATAAAGGTTCCTCATCTGTGAGAGGTTTTCAAATATGAACTTTTTTAAAAATATAGCTAAATCTTATTAACTGGAGCCTACTCACTGGATTTATTTTAGTTGAGAAAAAAGAACACAAGCTTAGTTTTGTGTTACCTGTTGTGGAAGTGGAAATTTGTTATGAAAATTCAACGATTTTGTGTAAAATGTAAAAGAAAACTAAGTCTATATGAAGGAGTACTTTTTTAAAAAACTATCTACAGTCTAATATACATGTGTAAGACTATGGCAAAAATAATACAAAAGAAGAACAAGAAAACGGATATTCACTGTTGAAAACTCTTATGCTGAATATGAAGTCATATAGCAATATTTGAGAGTAGACTGTGGATAAATATATCAATTGCCAACTTTAGAGCAAAATTTAAATAAAACAAAGACACAAGAAATAATTGGATAGCATATGCAAAAGAAAAAAAAAGAAACCTTCACCCTAACCTCACAGCACATACAAACATTTTTTGTGTTTCCTCTTGCCTAAAAAGTCAAATAGCTTCTCTTTATTCTTGAAATAAAAACACAAATTCCTGCTGGCCCTAAACTAGAGCATCTAGGGTGGGAAAGGAGAGTCTGAGCACGTGCTAAGACGATGACAGCTCCTTTTCCTGCTCCCACAGGTGATTTGCCATTCCTGACACCAATGGCTGACAGAGCTAATGTCAACGTAACCAGGTGGTGGAAGAAGCCAACACCACATGCTCCTGATGTCCTGCAGTGAGGACACGGCACTCACTCCTGAAGTGTGACTGCCAAGAATACATGACCTGAATCTGGACTTGAGGACAGACAGAACAGAGCCAGGTTGAGGGACATCTTACAGAATAAAGGTCTGGACCCTCTAACCTGGCAAGGCCATGAAAGATAAAGATACAGGACTCTTCCAGAAAGACAAAGACTAGAGACACATGACAGCCAAATGCAGTTAATCGTGGGGAGCGAATGAGCGCTGTCCAAACAGTAGGCCTTGAGCAAGACAAGGCCCCAAGTGAAGGCGAGGTCTCACTTGGCTGCTTTGCATCCTGCCAAAGAGCAAGGGATGCAGCTTGCTACACGGAATGGCATCTCAGATGCCCACACATCCAGGTGCACATAGTACAGATAAAGCCTTAGTTATAACAAGATAACCGTGGAACAGCTTGCCATTTAGGTAGCAACAAAATTCCATTATAGCTCCCTCACAGATCTTGAATCCCTTCCAACTACCTTTGTGCTTGATTATAAAATAAACGTGCTAGAGCCGGGCTCGGTAGCTCAGCCTGTAATCACGCGCCTTTGGGAGGCTGAGGTGAGTGGATTGCCTGAGCCCGCGGGTTCGAGACCCGCCTGGGCAGCGAGACCTCATCTCTACAATAAATCAAAAAATCAGCCGGGCGTGGTCGCGCATGCCTGTAATTCCGGCTACTCGGAAGGCTGAGGCGGAAGGATCGCCGGAGCCCAGCAGGTCGAGGCTGCGGTGGCCGGGAGCGGTCACTGCACTCCAGTCTGGGCGACAGAGTGAGACTCCAACTCAAAAATAAATAAATAAATAAATAAATAAATAAAGCTCTTGAAGGTGGTAATTATTCATAGTTTCAAAGATAAATACTCAAACCCAGTTCTAAAGCTCATTAAACGTGGGGAGGTGGTAATATGCTTAGGAGCAGATACCTACAGTCCTCTCTTTAGCATAATAAAACACTGCTTTTCTAGACTTTCACATTAAAGCACTTCTCTATCTGGTCACAATTACAGCTAGAACAAAAGGCTACAAGATCTGACAAAATAAATAAATAAATAAAAAATAAAATAAAATAAACATGCTGAACTAGTTCGGAGCCACTTCTCCTCCATCAGAGGAAAGTGTCCACCTGGCCCCAGCTTTTCTTTATGTTTTTGTGTCTTTCTTAATCTCTTGCCACTCTCTCTCAGGACACTCAAGGCAGTCGCGCAGGCCATGGCAGTTAATAATCCTGGATTGGCTCCTGAACCATAGAGGAAAAAAAAGACACCACAGGATTGGTGGTACAGTTTGAACAGAATTGTATAAATAATTTTAAAAGGTGATTTTTTTTGTTAAAGTATCTATTAACTCCCAACAAAGAAAAGCCCAAGACCACTCTAAAATTCACATGTAATCTCAAGGGGCCCCAAATAGCCAAAACAATCTAGAAAAGGAAAAACAAAGTTCAAAGTCTCACTCTTTCTACCTTCAAAACTTACTACCCAGCTCTGGTAATACTGGCATAAAGACACACACAGACACTAATGGAAGGAATAAAAAGCCCAGAAACATACCCTTACAGCAATTTTCGACAAAAGTCACAATAATTTTTGACAAGATGCCAAGACCACTCAACAGGAAAAACACAGTCTTTTCAACAAATGGTGCTGGGAAAATCAGAAATACATACACAGTACGACACTGGATCTTTGCCTTATACCATAAACAAATATTAACCAAAAATGGATCAAAGACCTAAACATAAGACCTAAAACAATGAAACTCTTAGAGAACACATATGGGCAAAACGTTATGACACTGGATTTGGCAATGATTTTCTAGACAAGACATCAAAAGCCCAAGAAACAAAAAATAGACTACATCAAGATTAAAAACTTCTGTATATCAAAGGACAAAATCAACAGAGTGAAAAAGCAAACCATGGAACAGGAGAAAATACCTGATCTGATAAGGGGTTGGTTAATATCCAGAATATATAAAGAACTCCTACAACTCAACAACAACCCATTTTAAGAAATGGATAAAGGACTTGCACATACATTTCTCTAAAGATACACAAAGGACCAGTAAGGACATGAAAAGATGCTATCACTAATCATTAGAAAATGCACGTGAAACCACAATGAGGTATCACCTCACGCTACTAAAAAAAAAAAAAGTAAAGAAAGAAAGGAAAAAAGACAAAAAAGTAGTACTGGCAAGGATGTAGAGAAATTTGCTTGCTATTAAAAATGATATAGGCCGGGCTCAGTGGCTCAGCCTGTAATCCCAGCACTTTGGGAGGCTGGAGTAAGTGGATTGCCTGAGTCTGCAGGTTCGAGACTCACCGAGGCAACTTGGCGAGACCTCGTCTCCACAATAAATCAAAAATAAGCCAGGTGTGGTAGCGCACACCTGTAGTTCCGGCTACTTGGAAGGCTGAGGCAGAAGGATTGCTGGAGCCCAGCAGGTTGAGGCTGCAGTGGCCAGGAGTATGCCACTGCATTCCAGTCTGGGCGACAGAGTGAGACTCCAACTCAAAGAAAAAAAAAAGATATAATAAGCCAGGCATGGTGGTTCACACTTGTAATCCCAGAACTTTGGGAGGTGAAGGCAAGTGAATTGCCTGAGCCCAGGAGTTCGAGACCAGCATGGGCAACTTGGTGAGATCTCATCTCACCAAGTTAGTTGGGCATGGTGGTGCGTACCTGTAGTCCCAGCTACTTAGGAGGCTGAGGTGGAAGGATCACCTAAGTCCAGCAGGTTGAGGCTGCAGAAGCCATCATCATGCCACTGCACTCTAGCGTGGGCAACAGAGTGAGACCAGACTCAAAAAAAAAAGATATATTGAACATCAATGTTTGAGGTAAAAAAAATTTTTAATTTTTTAAAAATAAATTTAAAATGACATCAAGCAATTTGTCAGTATTTTCATGATACTCTTCAAAAAGAAAAGCAGCAAAAAAGTGTGTACAATGTTCCCATTATTATAAAGCAGTGACATAAAAAATAAATAAGTATATACTAAATGTATGTAATGTATTAGTTTCCTATTGTGACCATAACAAATTACGACAAACTCAGAGGCTGAACACAATACAGATGTATCACCTCATATCTCTGCAGGTCAGAAGTCTAACAAGGGTCTCACTGGGCTAACACCACCGTGTCAGCAGGCTGCCTTCCTTTCTGGAGGTGCTGGAGAAAAATCCATTCCTATTCCTTCCCAGGGCACCCCATTTCAGGGCTCATGGCCCCCTTCACCATCTTCAAAGCCGACATCGCATCTCTGACCGTTTTTTAGCAGTCATATCTTTTCCTGACCATAGTCAGGTCACTTTTTAAGTACTCATTTAAATCGGGTATACCTGAATAATCTAGGATGCTCTCCCATTTCAAAGTCCCCAACTTTTTTTTCTAGAGTGGGGTCTCACTCTGCTACCCAGGCCGTAGTGCACTGGCATGATCATGACTCACTGCAGCCTCAACTTTCTGTGCTCAGGTAATCCTTCTGCCTCAGCCTCCTGGTAGGTAGAACTACGGGCATGCACCACCATGTCTGACTAATGATTTGATTTTTTGGTTTTTGTTGTGTTTGGGTTGTTTTGTTTTGTTTTGTTTGTAGAGACGAGGTTTCACCATATGCTGCCCAGTCTGGTCCCAAACTCCAGGTTCAAGGGATCCTCCTATCTCGACCTCCCAAAGTGCGGGGATTGCAGACATGAGTTACCATCCCTGGCCTCAAAGTCCTTAGCCTTAATCACATCTGCAAAGTCTCTTTTGCTATGTAAGGCAACATATTCACAGGTTCCAGGGATTCAGATGTGGGCATGTTTGAGAGGTCATTATTCTGCCTGCCACAAACGTCCGCGGGATTTATTATATGAGATGGGGGAAAAGCAAAAGGATCGATATTGTTAGGTCTTCACAGGGTTAGATAGTAAGGCGAGGTCCTGATGTGGGCAGAGGAAGAAGGGGAAGAGGAGAGAATGGGAGGAAGGAAAACAAGAGGGAAAAGGAAGGAAGGGGAAAGGGAAGAGAGGAAGGAAAGGGGGTAGACATGAGGAGAAGGAAAGGGAAAGGGGAAGAGGAAGAAGGGGGAGGGAGGAGAAAAGGAGAAC